GAGTATGTGGGTACGCTGAGTGCCATTCGCGTCTGCTACCCGCTTCGGGAGAGCTTTGATGCCGAGTACATGCATGTGTATGGATCCTGTCCCGTGGAGCACATGCAGATCTGCAGTTGGCGCACAAAGGACCAGCTGGAAAGGCTTGGCCACTGGCTTGGTCAACCGAATTTCAACATGCACAGACGTGGGAACCGTCCAAAGCTATGTGTTCCAATGCCAGTGATGTTTGATGAGATGAATGTGGTGCATCCAAAGTACTCCAGAACTCAAATTGTGTTGAAATACAACATCACTACGTTTATGGCAAACGATACCGTGGCATACCAGCGAGTTGGACCGGTTGCACAAGGTACTGCACATCACTTTCTACCCGGAGGTGACTGCGCCCCACCAGCTATGCCAGTCCCAACTCAGCCATCTGAGCCTGTGCAATGCGGAGAAGAAGAGTACACTGATGCTGTTCTCCAGGGCGAGCAAATTGAGATTGATTCTGGCACGTACAAGATCATCGAGGTCGGCCCCACCTGCAAAGTGACTCTCGTCGCTGGCAGCGGCACGCAGTCTATCCTCATCCCGCGCGCAGACGCCGTGAGGCGCCTCGCCTTGTTCCTTGGCCTGGCCCCTCCCCAGTAACAGCCTTGCCTCCATGAAATTCTCCGAAGTCCACGAAGCATACCCGAATGGTATTTCAATTGGCGGAGCATCGTTGGAGAAGTCCGCTGGGATGCATTGGTCCCCTTACCTCTGACCTCGTCCTCCTGTGAGAACTTGGTCAGTCCATGGCGCATCACCCGGGTCCAGTGGATAAGCATCTAGACACGCGGGTGATAGCCGGTCTGGAGAAGGGAAGCTCGACTGGCCATAGTAACCAGCCATGCCGCGTTGGCGACGCTGGGGCTGGGCCCGGAGCCGCGGCCTGCTGATTGCGCTGAAGTCCTCCGGGATGATGAACTTGTGAGGCGACCGCCACACTCATCGCGCGCCTCTGGCACGGCCACCCACCACTCGGTGCCGTCCACTGCGCCCCGGCGGCATCGCGCTGCGCCTGCGTCATGGTCGACTACGGCAAGTGGGACAAGTTCGCGGCGGCGCTCGACGACGCGAGCGTCGAGCGCTGTCCGCCGGCGCCGCCCTGGGTCGCCGACGACACCGCCGGCGGCGACGGTACGGACCCGACGGACCCGACGCGCGTCGCGGCCATGCGGAACCTGCTCGACGAGATCGACGACGCGCGGCGGCCGCACCTCGAGGCGGCGATCGCCTGGCTCGAGCGCGCGTCCGCGTGCTTCGCGCACGGCGAGGCGCCGAGCGACGGCGACTGCCCGTTCAACCAGGGCGACGAGGCCTGGTTCTGGTTCTGCCTCCTCGCGAACAAGCCCCACGTGACCCTGCACGGCCCCTACCGGCCGCTCCTCGCGCGGCACCGCAGCGCCAAGGAGCAGTGCTTCGCCGAGGGCCTCGTCTGCGCGCGGTGCTTCGCCGCGGGCGGCGGCCACTACTGGGGCCGGCGGCCGCTGAAGCGGTGCTCCGCGTGCCGCGCCGCGTCCTACTGCGGCCGCGACTGCCAGCGCCTCGACCTCGACGCGCACAGGGCCGACTGCCGCCGGGGCGCCGCGCGGCTCGCGGCCGCGCGCCGCGCGACAGCCGCGCGGCGCCTCGACGGCGCGCTGCCCGCCAAGGGCGACCGGCCCGCGCTCCGCGCGCGGCACCGGCGCGACGGCCTCGGCAAGAGCGCGCTCGTCCTCTACCGCGCCGACGACCCGGACCACTGCTGGGGCTGCGTGACCGTGCCGACGCGCGACGCCGCCGCGCGGTCCGCGCTGCCCGAGCGCGCCGCGCGCTTCGACGCGGCGCACTACGGCGACGTGCTCGCGGACCTCGTCGCCCTGAAGTTCGTCACGCCCCTCGAGCCCGGGGACCAGGTCCTCGCGCCGGGCCAGGCCCTCGGCCGCGTCGAGGTGCCCATGGGCTTCGAGGAGGGCGACGACGAGGACGCGACGTCGCGCGAACGGCTCGACCGGCTCCTCGCGGCGCCGACGGCGCCGCCGCTCGAGGACGCGGCCTCCCCGCCGGCGCCGCCGCGCGCCTAAAGACAGGGGCGTTACGGCCTACATGATCGACCGGCCGTTCGGGGAGATGAGGCTGAAGCTGCCGGACCGGCGCCGCTCGACGAAGGCCGGCGACGCGTCCGGCGACGGCGGCGGCGCGCCGTCGCCGGCGAAGTTCTCCTCGAGGAACGCCGCGACCTCGCCCGGCGCCGGCGCCGGCGCCGGCGGCTCCGGCGCGTCGGCCGACGCGTCGGACGCGGACCGCCGGAGGTCCGCGGTCCGCACGAAGCTCTCGACGTCGAGGCCGCCGGCGCCGTCGTCGGCCTCGTGGGCCCGCAGCACGCCGACGAGCTCCGGGTGGGCGCCGACGGCCGTGCGCCGGCTGAACTTGCGCGGGTGGCACCGCCGGTCCCGCGCGTCGAGGTCGCGCATCGCCGCGACCTGGGCAGCACAAGGGTGATTCAACGTCGCTTCAACGTGAGTGTTCCGCGCGCGCGCGTTCTGGAGAAAGCATTCACGCTTCGAGACCGTTCCGAGAGACGATCGCTCGTCCAAGAATTAGCCAAAACGAGTCGAAAACGGCCGAGATCGGAGCCTTTGAAGTTGGGAATGTCGCTCTCTTGTGCTGCCCTGGCCGCGACGTCGAGCTCGGGCATGAGGGACCCGAACTCGGACGCGTGCGCCGCCGCCTCGGCCTCGGACGGCCGCAGGGACCGGCAGCACCAGTAGCGCGCGAGCCGCGTGCGGACGCCGTACTTGCCCGTGCGCCACCTGCGCCGACATCGACCGCCGGTTCAGGGGGTCGCTCTGAAACTTCGGAACGCTCTCTCTCGGTCGCGTCGACGTCGATTCGGCCGATGTTTGGACGCATGGATGGCTCTCGTCCAGTGCTCGACGCGCGGCAGAACGCCTCGCGTCGGAACGGTCGCATACGCGCACAGTGAAGTCGGGTGGAAGATTCATAGTTCGGCGCCGCGTGGCGCGTCCGCGAGCTCTTCGACCCCGCGCTCCGCGCGCGGTCCATGGCCCGCTCGCCGCGCCGCCGCGCGCCCCGCGTCGCGCCGGCGACGGCCTCGCGCGTGCGCGACAGGGACCGCTCGCCGATCTTGAGGCCGTCGTCGCGGAGGCCGCCGAGCGCCGCGCGCGACCTGTGTGGAAATCAAATCTTCAACCCGACTTCAATGTGAGCGTAATCGAACGGTTCGGACCAGACTCTTCGGCTGTGCTTCGAGAACTCGACGAGAGCAATCGATGCGTCCAAAAATCAGCCGAATCGACGTCGATGTGACCGAGCTAGAGATTTCTGAAGTTTGGCCCCGACGTCCCAGCTCGCTGGTTGATTTCCGCACAGCGCGCGACCGGTCGCCGAACGACTCCGCGCGCTCGCGCGCGGCCGCGACGTGGCGCTCCGCGGCCCTGGCGAGCTTGTCGTGGCCGGGCACGCAGCGCGCGACGCCGCCGCCGACCTGGAGCGTCGCGTCGCCGACGCCCTTGCCCAGCGACACCGTCGCGTCGGCGATGCCGCCGCCGAGCGTCGCCGCCGCGGTCCCCAGGCCGCGCCCGAAGGCCGCCGCGCCGGCGCCCGCGCCCTCGTGGCGCGCGCGGTCGATGCCGTCGGACGTCGCCGAGCCCAGCGCGGACGCCGTCTCGAAGACGCCGCGGACGAGGTGGTTCGCGGCGTCGCCCGTGCCGACGACGACGGCCTTGGCGCCGCCGAGCACGCCGCCGACGACGCCCCCCAGGGACCGGCCGACGACGCCGAAGTGGGCCCCGCCGCTCGTCGCGCCGCTCTCGAGGCCGTCGCAGACGGACGCGACGCCGTCGACGACGCCGGACACGGACGATGTCACGCCCCGCTTCGTGCCGTCGACGACGGACTGCGTCGCGAGGGCCACGCCGGAGAGTAGGGAGTGCTGCTGCGACTCGACGTGGTCGTGGGACCCGCGCCGCTTCGCGGAGATGATGTTGCCGGACATGAAGCCGTTCGCGATGGCCTTGCCGCCGTCCGTGATGCCCTGGGACACCTCCTTGACGCCGTTGAGCGCGCCGTGCACGGCGAGGTAGGCCGGGTCCATGGCGAGGCCCGCGACGGCCGCGCCCTTCTTCGACCGCACGGACCCGTCGCGGCGGTGGAACGGGTGCGTGAGCGCGTGCGTGAGCGCGTCGATGGAGTCCGTGACGCCCGAAATCAGGTTCGTCACGTTGTCGAAGGACGAGTTGAGGAGCGTGCGGAAGACGATCTGGTTGAGCCAGAGGAACTGGGCCCGCTTCCGCTCGCAGATGATCTCCTCGTTGAGGATCGAGATCGACGGGATGAGGTCGCGGCCCTTGCCGCCTCTCAGGAGCATCTTCTGGATGCGCTTCATCTTCCGGCCGACGCGCCCCCGCGCCGATTCGAGCTGCTCGGCGTCGTGCTTGCTCTTGGCGTAGAAGATCTTCACGTCGCCGTCCTTGATGACGAATTTCGAGAGCACGCACTTGCGCTCCCAGACGTCGTAGCGGCCGCCCGTGAGGTCGTCGACCCACTCCTCCCAGTCCTCCCAGATGACCTCCAAAATGCGGTTCACGTTCGTGTACTGGCGCTGCAGGTTGTAGATGACGACGTGCGCGAGCGCGCCGCGGAGCTCGACCTGGAGCGCGATGTAGAGCCAGGGCTTCTGCGTCGCCTCCTCGAACTTCTCGGCCTGGTGGCGCACGTGCTCCTCGCACTCGTGCTGCTCGCGGTGCATGGCCTCGGCGAAGGACTCCTGGTTCTTGCGGATGTACGCGGCGTGCGCCGTCGCCATCGGCGCGTCCTCGGACTCGAAGTGGCGGTTCAGCACCGTCAGCAGGCCGACCTTGGCCGTCGCCGCGTGGCCCGCGCGCCGCGTCGCCTCCGTCTCGCCCGCGTTCTTCGGGTGGCGGAGCCGCACGTTCGTCAGCGTGCAGTCGAGCCGCACGTAGGGCACCTGCGGCCACGTCGACCGCACGGACTCGTAGACGCGCTCCAGCGACCGCAGCGCGCTGTAGTAGTGGCCCGCGCGCCAGAAGCGGCGCGAGCGGCGCATCGCCGTCTCCAGCGTCTGCGTCCACGTGCAGTCGAGCTCGAGGTCGTCCGCGTCGCACTCGAGGCGCCACCAGATGAGCACGTAGGAGCGGACGAGGAGCACGCGGTAGTGGGACACGAGGTGGAGCACGACGATGGCGAAGAGGAGCGCCGTGCCCAGGGCGCGGTGCACGAGGACGCGCGCGAGCCACCAGGCGCACTCGAGCGCCGCGAGGGACGCGTCGACGTACTCGGGCCCCGCGGCCGCCGCGGCCGCGAACCAGCACCCGAGGACGAGGCCGGCCTGCTCCCACCACTCCCAGGGCCGGCTCATCTTCTTGAAGACGGGCGTCCGCCGCCGCTTCTTCCATGACGCGTTCCCCCGGCTGCCCCGCCGCCCCGCCTTGGCCTCGAGCGAGAGCGCGCGCGCCGGCGACGCGAGCCTCGCGCCCTCGCGGATCGACCCGTCCTCCTCCTCGTGGAGCTCGACCTGCGCCGGGGCGGCCGCGTCGCGCCCGCCC